TTTGACATTTCGATATGTGCATCATATAAAAATAAAACCAATGGAACTGAAAAATATTCTGCTTAGCAAGCACAGTAAAACTCTTTTAAGTGTTCATAAACAAATCTCAACAGAACATCAAAATTAATTATCTCTGCAAAATATCGCAAACGTTATTGCGCAATACGTGTGCCGTAATTCTTCCCTACGTGATATTAAGCAATCGGAATCAACAGCTGCCGGTATTGGGAGAATAAAGAACTAAATACGAGTAACTGGGGTGTTTTTCATTCTAATTTTCAACAGACGGCGTTAAATTTCCGGAATAGAATCATTCTTCGCTTGGGTTGGTAGACCGCAGAACTTTTAGTCCTATTCAATCCAGATTGGAAAGTGACAAAAAAAAAGTCCGTTGCTTGTTTTGCAGCGAACTTGTAACAGTTTCAATATTCGAGATTTTGCGGAGAAAAGGGAGAACCTCCCAATCTTCGTACTATATAATGTATTGGCCAAAAAAATTAAATTATTTTGACTATTCGATTACTTTCCCTTTATTTAAGCCATTCCGAATATTATTCCTAAAAAGCTAATCTGTGTTAAAACACAACCATTTTTGGAAGTTTACTATACTTCAGCAGTTACTGCAACTGTTATTATAAACATTCATACATATACTCATAATATAAGCATAATGATCATAATAAACACAAATATGAACTGACCAAGCGGAACGAGAATGCAAATTATTAAGATCTGGATAGAAATTCAAACGTGTGTAGTATTTGGGTGGGAGGAAAAGAATGCCGAATGTACCGAAATTTTCTACTGCTTTCGCAATTCTTTGACCAATAGAACGACGGGCACCTGTCTGTACTCTTCGTGCACACCAAAGGTTATGTTAATGCAGAGAAAGGGGGAAAAGCTATTTCCGGGAGTATGATTCATTCCACCATTGACATTCATATTAAGAAAAGTTGTTTATTTAGTTTCGGCTTTGGTACGGGGAAAAATAGCGCGTTCATTAAAAAAAAAAAAAAAAGCACTAAAAGCAAAAAATAAGCACTAAAAACAAAAAAATAAGGGCTTTAAAGAAAAAAGTAAGCACCTATAAGGGCCTTTATATTTTATTTTCAAATATAACGACTTTAAGCACTTATAAGGACCGCTACGAACCCTGTCTGAGGTGAAGTTGCTGATATGAAAGTACTAAATATATACTATTGTAATGAAAGAGTATCATACGATTCATTTAAAATAAGCTTGAGCAAGAAATCTTTTCCAAAGTTTTTCGTAAGTTGTTTCAACTTTTATCAACATCTGGCAACAATTTGTATTTCACTTTCTTTTACCATTTGCAAATAAATTTGTTTCCAACGAATAAAGAATTTTTGCCTACTTTGGCAGTTTCCTAAAATCAAGCAAAGAATATGTATTACGCTTTTTGCAATGGAATTTTTGCTTAAAAATCATAGAAAATGCTGCCAAAAAATATTTTATCATAAACAAGTTTTTCAGTGGTATTAGATGTTTAAGGAAGGCAAAGAATGTGCTAAAGATAAATCATGCTTAGACCATTCACTTTAACACATTGATCAAGCCAGAAGTTGAGTGTTAAGCAGCTGTCCTTTAGCAATTAAGAATCTTAATGAACAAATTCTTATATCATCTAGATAATATTGTTATGGATTTTGTATTTAGTTAGCTATTTTTAGTAAAATTGGATTAAAATTAAAATTGTTTTATTTCCCCATGCAATGCAGCGAATGATGAGTTTTAAGAGAAAGCTACATCAAAAAAGTAAAATACAGGAGCACATGCATTTAACATTTAAATAAATAAATATCTTGTCATTTATACTGAATAAATATCATTGACTACTGTGTTAGCTGTGACCATAATTCTACTCTTTTGCTTTCCAGAAATCTTGAGAAAATGTAAATTACGAGAACTTTCTTGCAATGAATTAAAAAGCCAGAGAGAGAGACATCTCAGCTCAGTTGTTGTTGTTGATTATAGCGAATTCACGGTGAGATTGGATTAGCTTTCTCTGCGCTTTGGATTGTGTTCTATTTAATGTTTTAGTAGTTTAAAATATAACTACTGTGTGATATTTTACAAATATCTCTGAGAAAAAATTTCAGCATTTTCTTTTATTTCTTGCGGTAAGAATAAATTTTATTAAATTTTTATCAGACTTGTGCATTCAATCTATTACGTACCCGTACGCACGCAACAATATCAAACAATTCTGAAAGATTCTATTTATTTGCTTTATGGTTTAAGACACACTGCTTCTTGAACTGTTCCAAACATAAATTATTCCAAAAACAACAACATGCTCAAGTGGGCCAAGAGATGCTTTCTCAAGGTTCTTAAAACATTATTACTAGTGTGAAACATGAGCTTACATTTTAGATTTGTAGAAACAGCTCAACAATAAAGTGAACTGTGCTTGAAAGATACAGCAAAATAAAAAAGATTATGCAAGTGAGTCAAAAATCAAGGTAATGTTCCTGTTTTCTTTTATTGCAGAAAGTTGTTCATGAACAACTGAACAAACTGTTAATAAAAAATATTATTCAAGCACCTCAAGGCATTATGTGACCAATGCAATTTGAATTGTGGTACAATAATTTATGGATCTTGAATCTTGCACAGCAATAATGTGCTTGCCATTCATGAAGTTTTTAGCCAAAAATTCAATGACTCTCCAAGGTCAGTATTCACCTGATACAGCACCATGAAATTTTATTTTCACAGATTAAACTTAAATTTTAAGGTTACCATTTTGAACCTATTGAAGCAATAAAAGAAAATTCATTGCCTGTCCTCAACAATGACATAGTTTAGTTCATGACCTGGATTGTATCTCAGATCCCTTCTAGTTTATTACTGTCTTTTTTGATTTTATATCTTTCAAGACTTTAATATACCTCTGACTCAAGTTATCATCTTGCTATTCAAAATAATATGTGAACAGATCCGTTTATTTATTGTGTTCTTAATTATTGTATTGGAAAATTTATACAGAAGAATTTTACACATTTAAAAATCCATTAATTACATTTAAAATCCCAATAATTTACATGTACATAAATTTCCTTTTCGCATAAACTTCTCCAAATATTTCATCTACGTATATTGTCACACTTTTTAGAATGACCCTTTTTATTGCTAAAACAATTAAGTTCTTTAAGTTCGCGTATATTTAACAGTCAAAATTTTCTACAACTTTAATTAGTCTTTTTTATCTTTGTGATATCAAGAAAACTGCAAATATATTTTTGGTAATTTCTTTCAGTAATAAGTATTCTTGGGATTTTATTTTGAGACACTGGTATATATTTTATTACACACAGCATCAATATAGTTCAGTACAATAAATAACTGGATTTTGTTTGCCTTATTCCATTCTATTAGAAACTTCAGCTAAAGATACCTTAATTATTTCTAATGTGATTTTTTTTCTGTTTTTGTCTTAATTTATTTCTAATGTGATTGCAACATTAGTAGCATTGCTAAATACTGCAGGTGATATACCTCTAAAAGCAGAGCATATATTTCATTGAGACTGAATCGCTGAGATTGTACCATGAGGAGCTAAAATTTCTAATACCTGTAAGTATATGACTTTGATGAATTTTCAAATTCTATAGCAGTGGTTCCCAAAGTGTGGGCTGGGCGGTTGCGAAAAGAGTTCCAAAATAAAACAAAAACGCCTTGTTAAACTATTTATTTTAGCAATCTAAATAAAAATATAACAAAATAGTGATCAGATCAATCCAATAATGCAATTATCAAACTGCAAGTATATGTCATATATTCAGAAATGTACACAAAATATTAAAAACTTTGAAAATATAAAATAGATAAAATATTTTAATAAGACCCATGTGCCTGTTTCCCCAAAACCAGCTTTTTGAAATCTAGACTGTTTTTGATACACACACAATTATATCATTCTCAGGTTTGAGGTGAATTCTCACCTTTATTTCGATGGCAGATCAGAAGCTTAACTAAAATTTAAAATGACAAATGGAACCAAATATTTAGATAGCTTCACTCACAATCTGAGAGTATTCCTTTATTATTTTGGTCCAAAACTGAGCCGGGTTCTAGAAGAAAAATTCCAATTTCAACATTCCATATTATTTATTGGTGTTGCAGCATGTTAAAGAGAATCATCTAAAAATGGGTTCAGTACCTATCTGTAACTGTTATAATTACTTTGAGTTTCTTTGGAGAAATAGTCATAGAGCTGTTGTTTTACTGAGCAAACAAACTTGCATGTCTACAAAAAAATGCTCAAAAATTGTAATATTATACATATACTTGGTTATATCTTTTGTAAGTTTCTGAATATAATGAATGCATGAATTCATAAGATTTTAAATCCAGTCTGAATGAATCAAACTACTTTTGCGACCTGAAAATGAAAATATGACCTGAAATATGAAAGTAAGTCAGTTTTTGCATGTAAATAAGCAATCCTACATGTTGTCCAATAATCCCTTTTCCTCCTGCACTTTCCCTTCCTCTTGTCACAAGGTCTAAAATATCTATATCTTCTGTTAGGGTAACAAGACCAAAGTTGCCTGACTTATGACTGCATTATTTGTTTTAAGGTAAAAACATTTTCATAATACTTTTTTTAATTAAAAAAAAACACTTAAAGCATTACCAAAAAGAGACTTGCTTATTACTTACAGGAACAGTTTCTGGTACTTCTTTTTTTTTTTTTCCCTGAGCTTCACAGCTAACCTAGCTAGTCTGGAATCTATGCAACTGCTACTCAGCAGGTTTCACAAGAATGACTTTAAAACATGTTTCGGGGTTTGGGAAAAAAACTGGCATAAATGCATTGCTGTCAGAGGGAATTTTTTCTGGAATCTTTCTGAATACATTTTCATCATAATATCATACATAATAAGTACAAAATATAGAGATATTTTATTTCAAATTAATATTTGTGAAGGTAAAATGAAGTGTGATTAATAGTTATAGAAAATGAACTAAACTACCTTTTTAATAATCCCTTGAGGAGAACAAAGCACAGTAGCTTTTGGAGACATTCCTGTCTGCAAGAATAAAATGAACATATAACAATCATTAATTGTAGATTGAATCAAAGAAAACAACAATATAATTTTCATTGCAAATCTGCTGCAAAAATGAAATCTTTACCCTGAAATGCGTATATACACATAGTTATATCAGTTGCCATGATTTGATCCAAATGGCAAACATTAGTCCTAATTTTTTCCAAACTGTATCTAAGAATAAAATTTGGCACTTTGTTTATGATCCTGAGATTGTAAATTTTCCAAATGCATGCTAAAATTCAAATTTTACATGTCTCATAAAGCTTTAATTTTTGTGATGCTGCTAGTTTAGCTATTAAAATACCGACTCTTGCCAAATGAATAGTACTGGATACGGAATATGCATTTGGCAGCAATATACAATGTGCCCAGTCATACTTTTTTTTTTTTTTTAGAATTAGCTAACAATCATGAGACATAAAAATTATTTGAAAGACATGAATTATTTATGTAAATATAGTATATCTCATTGTAACATGTAAAATATATGGAAGTTTTCCATTAACAACACTACCTAAGAAAGGTGTCCAAACTTTATCTTTAACAGTTTGCAGGCCATAGTCTAAACATAAAAACTTCAAAATAACTTGCTGCTGTTTTGCAGTTTCACACACTTTGCTGATATTTTTCAATTTAATAGTCTGCAGTCTATTTTAAGTCTTTTTGAAGTGGAATATATTTACATAAAATGTGTTTAAAAGTAATGTTAGATCCAACTCATCAGCAAGAAGACATGAATTTTACCTAGAAAATTAATACATGAACTACATAGAAGTAAAAATCTAAGATACTAAGACATTGAACTGAACGTAAAAATTAATAAAGAAGAAAGTAATTTTGCTAAAATTAATCTCCCTTGTTTGGAGCTTCATAACAGAACTTGTCAAGGGAAAAGTGTTTTGAACCTCCATACCTGGTTGATTAATAAGAGAGCCAAGACAAATTTCATTCCAACAAATTCACTGAGACTCGGAAGTGTAGTACTTAATCAGTTAACTAATAAGTAGAATTAAGAGTCTCATTGAATTGTCTCTTTTCCCTATTTCTCTTAGCTTTCTAACACAAAATTATGAAAAGAGAAATATTTTACATTTTACAAAAACAAGCTATAACAATTTTGCTTCAAAATATACAAATAGTAAAAAACCTGTGAACTCATGAAAAAATTTTACTATGTAAAAAGAGAAAATGGAAAAATTTAATATTAGTCTCTTTTGAAGAATTAAAAGAGACAGTCCTGTAAAACAACTTAAAAAAGGAGTGTCTCGAAAATGAAGAAAAACTGTTTAGAAAATTATAAATTTTAAATGGACTAGAGACTATGTAAGTGAATGAACAACAAATTAGTAATAATTTTATATTACGATCTGTAAAAAGAAGTGGCATCAATGCAAAGTAAAATCAATTTGTTATGAGGCAGCTTTGCAAAAGTAGAAACATATTTAAGTAAAAACTAATTAGGGGAAAAAATAATAGTTAAAATGAAGAGGTTCTAACACATTAGAAACTGCAAGTGCTAAATGAAAAAGAGAATCAGAAAAGATATTTTCTTCTAAACTAACTTTTGCAAAGAAACTAAATGTGTTAATAAAATTTATGGAAGATTAACTAGCTTACTTTTTTAACAAGATCCCATGGAGAACGAACTATCATAGGTTTCGGAAGTACTGCTTCCTAAAAGAAAAGGAAAATATATATATATATATATATATATATATATATATAATAATTGAACACATATCAACATGAATTGCTATTTGTATCAGAGAGGAAGACAATAATAATTTTTTACAAGAATAGTTGAAAACTATCGACTAGAAAAATGAAGCCTTTGCTTTGAAATGCAAGTGCATGTACAGTTGCAATTTATGACAGTTTCTTGCTTAGAACTTTTCCATCATAATTTTCTGATAAGGTATGATTAATTATATATGAACAAAATATTGAAAATTGAAAGGACATATGTAATGCACAGCAAAGCAAATTCTAGGCACCCTGATCCTTATGAAAGCTATAGGTACCAACCATTCTTAGCAGCTATAATAAAAAAGTACTTATGTATAAAAATAGCAACAATGCATGGTGTACAAATATTTATATGGTAAATGCTAAATACTTACAATTTACAGATCTATATAAATTACAAAATTAATATACATCATAAAAATAATCAACTATGTCACATATTAAAATATTTAAAAGTTTTTCTTTTGGTTTCAAAATTAAAATTTTCGTACCAGATTTTAGCCTTTTGAGCTATTACTTTCTCACCAAGATTTTTTAGTTTCCCAATTGAAGCCAAAATGGCAAACCTGTACATCACTACTGTAATGCATCTCATAGTTTAGATTGTGTCTAATGAGAGTGCTTGAAGTTCTTAATTACTTCTTGTGCATTTTAATTAGGTTTTTTTTTTTTTTTTTTCCAACTATGTTTTATTATTTCATTCACATCTTAATTCTTTGGATTACCTGTTTAAAGGTAAACGTTTTGATTTAAATTTTTCACTGAAGTATTTTGTTTTTTCACTATCATTTTCAATTTTTTAAATAAAATAGAATTTTCTTTATTTAAGTTTCGAAATTCTAACTGGAATTTACTTTGTTTTTTCCTTGCTTTAGGGAAGGACCAGAATTTTCCAATGAGCTATTACAATTAAAATACACTAAAATGGTTCATCGGCTAATTCTGGATACAGAAAAGCAAGGATTCTTGTAGAAGTGAGATTTCAATGTCCCCCCCCCCCCGATGAAGTAGCATTGAAGTTAATTGAATTCCTCTTCTGTTTTTTGTTCATTTTCTTTAAATTACTTTTTTTTTTTTTTTTTTTTTTTTTAATGGGGTTTTGCTTGTTTGAAAAGTTTTGGTTTCAACATTTTTTAAATTTTTAGTTGCATTTATAATATTATTTGAAATTAATTACAAATTTAAATTTTTGGTCTTGGTGAAAAATTAGTTATACATTTCTTATGTCTTTAATGATACTTTTTCTGCAGCTTAATGCACGAAGTACATGTTTATATTTTGTTTTTAAAATACTTGTTTTGTAATTACATATATATGTTACCGTGAAAGACCGAAATTGGAGAATGTCAACATTCACCGAATACGTTGATGAAAGATCAAATATTGCATTACATTCTTCTACATTCGAACCCTCACCGGTGTATGTCGACAATCCCAAACATGCTCTGGTGTAGGTCGAAAAGAGAGGAGTATATGTACACGCTGTCATTGCAAAAGGAAGTGTTCCACAAAAAAATTCAGTTGTAAAAACAAGGGCCTCTTGTGCAATTCAAAGTGTCATAATAGTTTAAGTTGTTGCAATAAATAAGATTTGAATCACATAATTTTGAAAGTTTTTAACTTCTATTATTTTCCTTTCTCATTTTGAATGTACTGTGTGTTTTAAGTTCTTATATTTTTAAGTTCTTATTTTAAGTCTCAAGTGCGTTTTTTCGAGACTGAATTACGGAGAAGAAAATATAAATATTCGTTTATGTTCAACATTCACTATTAGTACATTGTGAATGTCGACATTTACCGGTGTAAGCCAGAAATAAGAGTATTTGGAAAATATTTCGGACATACACCAAGCGACTATGTGAATGTTGACATTCACCGGTGAAAGTCGACATTCTCCAAATTTCGATGTTTCACCGTAACATATACATGGAATGGGTATATATACATCACTCTTTACTCAGCTCAGAGAGCTCAGTTTTTTTTTATTCTTATACTTTGGTTAATTATGCTTTTTTTTTTTTTTTCTTTAAAAATAATTGAATTATGTTGTGCTTTTCTTCCAGTTAAAGTTTTTATGCCTTTAGTTAATCTGCATGCAATTGTTGTAGAACTATTAACAAATTTAAAAATTGTTTAAGTGCGGCTAAGCCTAATTTTTGTTTACCATAGCAGCCATATTTGTTTACATTTGAAACTCAAAAGAATAGTGAATTCAGTTTCTGCACCTTCAGTGTCTTTTTACCAAGTGAAACCAAAATTAGTTTTGCGCACCAAAAAAATTGCATTCTTGCCTGCTGGCTGAATTGCTTGTTTTTGCATAGAAACTCTAATGGTAAATATTAACTCTATTTGGCGTTTTATATTTTTAAATTTTATTAAAGATATTTTGAGGTTTTATGTATTTTTAAGGAGTATTGTAAATTTTTAAAAACTATTCATATGAAATTTATTTTCATTTCTTCTAATTATGTATAATAAATATTTATGAAGAGCTATTTTTTAATTATAAAGAATATTAATAAAATATTTAATATATTTTTGTTTTTTATGCTGGTAAAAGCAAATTTTTACCTTTGCTAAGTTATCACTTGCTATTTTTACTTTAATTTCATTAAAATAAAATTTTTAAAAAAACTTAGAAAGCTGATTTGACAATAAAATTAAAAAAAGTCATGAGATACATTCCACAAGAGAAGAAGAGGAAAAATGTGGTTACGTGGTTTAATAACAACAACATCCGCATGTGCTATGTTTACAGTGGAGTCGATAGCAGATATTTCGCTGAAATTAATTGATTTTAGAATTTAGAAATTTATAGCTATTGCGAGAAATAAAAAAATACGCTTGGAAATGATGTCCTTGATGTCAACAAGAAGGGTCTTTTGTTATTCAAGGAAAAACCTGTGAACAATATTTGTTTCAAAGTAATGCTAGATAGCACGGTACTTATAACAAGCTGTGTTAAAGCTGAAATGAAGAAATCAATTAATTATGAAACATCTGTGCAAATTTCTGCAGAAAACGAGGTAAGATTTATAAATTTTTCTTATGCATAATGCTTACCAGTATTAATAATGTTTTCATTATGCATGATGCTTACCAGTGTTAATAATGTTTTCATTAAGAATATTAAGTGTTTATCAGTTAACTGAAAACTATTCCCGAGACCTTGAATAACGTTTTCCAAACTTTTAAATGTAAGTGTAATAATAGCATATTCATGCTTTATGAATAGTTGTTGTAAATTACTGAAATAGCCGAATTCGTGCAAGATCTGTTTATCTGCAAAAACATAAATGCAGAGCCAATTTTCTGTTATTAGTATTAATTATTGTCATAGAGTATTTTATGCAGCTAAAAGTTTACTAATTTCATCAGGATATGTTTTAATATTTTAGCTATTGTAATTCGTTTTTAATGAATACACATAAATATCGGAATGTTAATTTTTTAATACCTTCCATTGTATATATTAAAGATACCAATAGCTGTTACATTAGAAGCATCAGTAATACTGAAACATTTTAATATAAATAATTAAGAATTTATACTTAATTCTAAATTTTCATGGGAGATTGCCGAGTTTTTTAGTTTAAATATTAAATTAGCATGCATATTTAGTCCTTGAAAATCAGTGGTTGTGTCAGTCCATAGTTTGAGATAACATGTGCCATAGTTACACTAATCTATTTCATATGGTAGATCTTTTCAATAAACACACTTGAAAATCTTCTTGAGCTACATGATTTTAATATAAAAAATTCTGCACATAAATTATGTAACTAACAAGATTAAAAATAACTATAATTATTTTTTGGATCTTTAAAATGTATACAGATAGTACTTTATTATTATTTATTATTATAAAATGAAGAAAAATGTATTATGAAACATTTTGACACTTATAGTATACAAAATGTGTTAATTTGAAGTTTATACTATCAATAAAAGAATAGTCAGTTGCTAAAAATTAAATTTTAAGTTGTATAAAATTATATATTAATTTTGAACTGTGCAGAACATTGGCATCATTATCCTTATACATGATTTAAGGGCCAACTGCATTTACAGTGCTCCAGAAATTTGACTACTACGATTTTCAGAAATCAACTATTTATATTTACTGTTCTGCTTGTTAAACTGATAAAATTATGATAATTATATTCAAAATATTTATAGTAACTTTTTTTTTCAGTGTAGAAGAGCAATCTACATAAAGATGATTTTATGTATTTATTTTTACATTTTTTATAAATGAATTAATTATCAGATCAAGGAAAGAATTCATAAATAAATATTAACAATCAATACATGGTAAAGCAGGGAACAAAAGAGTATCATGAAGATAACAATAACATATAAGAGTTACCAAAATTATACTAACCAAATGAATGAACAGTTAATTAATGGATGAAATGCAAATTTCACCACTAATTAAAACTAAACAAAGTTTCTGAATTTTCAACACATCTACCACAGCACAAGCTCATTTGTTTACATTAGCAGTTCTTACATCACGTGATCTCTGACGTCACCGGAATGTATCTCATTAACCCATTAACCGCCAAAACTACAAGGAATGTTTCTTTTCTCATGAAAATAATAACAAATATTAAATTAAGCATTTATAACATAAATTTACATCGAAAATTTAAAAAAAATGCTCTTACCTGTGGAAAACGCGAGTGTTGCGTTCGCGCAACGTCAGCGGAATAAGACTACGGATGTTTAATGAGTAGGATTGTACTCGTGTGATGTTTTTCTTTTGAGTGGAGCGCAGGATTACTTTTTAGCTGTATAACGTTTTATAAATCTACAAATCACTTTACTTGTTATTAATTTAATATCAAAATATACATTGTATTTCTTTTACAAATACAGATTATTTCAATTGAAAGATTCAAGCATGAAAAGCTTGATTACAATCA